TGGAACTAGGGCTCCCTGCTCCGGCGGAGGATGTCGGAGCCGGAGCACGGGAGGGGAAGAGTGTCTGGGATCGTTGGGCTGCGATGCTGCGTGCTGTGGCAGCCGAGAGGGATGCAGGAGCCTTTGTAGGGAGAGCAGCGCCGAACAGAGCTGCCGCTGCTGAGGAGCCAAGCAGGCCCCTGGTGCTGATGTTGTCATCTGTGTCTCCGTTGTGTATTATTTCCAGCTGATTGGTAAAGATGGAAAGAGGGAGAGGAGGAGGAGGAGGAAGGAACCTGGGAGGCTCTGGCCTGCACAGGAGCATTTATTCCCAGTCCCAACAGCAGTACCACTACCCGGCCTCCTCCCAGGGGAGCTGCATGGAGATCCAGGAGCTGGCCTCCAAGAGAGTGGACATCCAGAAGAAGCGGTTTTACCTGGATGTGAAACAGAGCTCCCGTGGCCGCTTCCTGAAGATCGCCGAGGTCTGGATAGGAAGAGGCCGGCAGGACAACATCAGGAAAAGCAAGCTGACTCTCTCCCTCTCCGTGGCTGCCGAGCTGAAAGACTGCCTGGGGGACTTCATCGAGCACTACGCCCACCTGGGCCTGAAGGGCGGCCACCGGGTGCACGAGCACAGCAATGACAAGGAGCAGCATCCCCGGAGGCGGCAGCAGCACCCGCCGCCCTCGCCCCCGGTGTCCGTGGGCTCCGAAGAGCCCCCTCACAGCGTCCTCAAAACGGAGTACATCGAGAGGGACAACAGGAAGTACTACCTGGACCTGAAGGAGAACCAGCGCGGGCGCTTCTTGCGGATTAGGCAAACCATGAGCAGGGGACCTGGCATGATGGGCTACTTTGGCCACAGCCTGGGACAGGAGCAGACGATCGTCCTCCCAGCGCAGGGGATGATCGAGTTCAGGGATGCTTTGGTCCAGCTGATCGAAGAGTACGGCGAGGGGGACATAGAGGACCGCCGGGGGGGAGGCGACGAGCCCCCGGAGCTCCCCGAGGGCACCTCCTTCCGAGTGGACAACAAGCGCTTCTACTTCGACGTGGGATCCAACAGGTACGGCATTTTCCTGAAGGTAAGTGAGGTGAGGCCGCCCTACCGTAACACCATCACAGTTCCCTACAAAGCGTGGACACGGTTCGGGGAAAATTTTATCAAGTACGAAGAAGAGATGAGGAGAATTTACAACAGCCATAAAGAAAAAAGAATGGATGCCAGAGGGGACAGTGGTGAAGAGCAAGAGGGTCTGGAATAGAGTGCATTGGACAATTAACGAAACAAAACAAGCAGAAATTGGTGAGAGGGACTGACCTATAGTAATTCCAAGTTGCCCCAAGTTTTTTGTAAGAGTCCTTTTCTGGGAGTTCTTGCTGACTCCGGTACGTAATGTTACAGTAGTCTGGTTATCACGTTAAATTACACCCAAAACATCTCCGTATGTCTTAGGAAAGGACCAACCTCCCGAGTCCGTGTGAGTCAGCTGCTTCGAGTGTTGAAGACTATGGAAGTTTGTGCATCAGCACAAACAAAATCCGGCACTCTGACCTTTAAATATTCTAGATAAGGCTTGTGTTGCACTTAAACATGATACAAAAGTGCCCCCACCCCAAACCTTAGGATGAAATGTATCACTTTCTGCTTATCACGGGTTTTCCTGGACTGGCTTCTGCCCGTACTGGGTCCAAAGGCTGAGCAGGCCAAAATCAGATCCACGTGAATTACTGGTCTGTGTGAGGAGGGAGGGAGGTTTTAAAAGTGTCATCTACTGGTTATTGGGCGGGAAACAACAGTCTGTGTGGGTAAAACCTCGATAACCAGTCAGACCTTGGTCACGTGCTGGTGAAGGGCAGAAGATTTGTTACTCATTCTGTAGTTTTGTGCTGACTAGATAACCTGAGTCTCCCAGGATAGCAGAGCTCTGCTCGAGTGCTAAGCCTTCTGAATTAGTGGCAATGAATAATAACCCACTCCTCATCTCCATGTTCTGCCCGTGCGAGGCTGGTGTTTATTTTTTTTTTTTTCAATTATTATTATTTTTAATGCATTTTTGTCCAAAATTTCAGAAGGTATTTTTGTACGAGGTGTGTTACGGGTTCCAGCAGGCGACTGTGGAGCGGGTGTGGGGAGGCAGAGGGAACACCTCTTCTCCCAAGCATGAGATTAATGTGGTTGTGATGTTACCTGTGCCAGGAAAACACCCTGGGCATGAGAAAGACCTTTGGGGGGTTTGGTGCACCAGTGGATTCATAGGCAAAGGCATCTCTCTCATGCTCACCCATGGCACATTTCGTAAGCCGTGGTGGACGCCGTGTTGGGTTTTCTGTCGTGTTGACTTTCCAGGTGCTGTCGTTAAGAGATGATATCCATGCCCTGCCATCACCCCCCTTCCCACCCGCTCGGAGCTGGAGCTGTCACTGAGCAGTTCCAGTCCAGTGTCGGTGTCCTCCCTCTGGAGCCTTTCTGACGTCACTTTTACATCTCACGGTATCGACTCTCTGCCTGGAGGGAAAATGGGTGCAATTACCTGGTTGGGAGGTTGATGAAAGGTTTTGCTGTTTCTTAAAACGTGAATATTTTTAATGTAAGGGGCTTGTCCACCATTTGGGCGACCAGCTCCTTCCCCTGGAACCAGCGGGAGTTTGATTGAGCTCCAGGTACTTCCAGGAGCGTGCTGCTCACCTTTAAGCTTGTTTGAAATAGGCATTACCATGTCTAATGAGGTATTTCTAATCATTCAGATGGTTTAATTACAGAGTGGCCGAGTGTGCACGTGGGACCAGCTATTTTTCCATGCAACATGTTTTGTTTTTTAATCTTTTGAGAAACATATTTATGTCCAACCAGACCGTTCACCGCTCCGAGTGTGGACCCACCTGCACAGCCACACTCAATCCAAATGCTGTTGCCTGTTAACATCATAATGAGAAAGGTTGGGGAGGCAGGGTTGGGAACCAAGAGGATAATCTGGACTTTAGTTTGGGTACTAAAACTGGTCGATCTGTTTTAACTTAAAAAAAAATTAAAAAAGAAAAAAAAAAAAAAAAAGCTTGCACCAAAGTCACCAAAGAACCTTTAGGAAAATGTTACGGTCGTGACAAAAATAAGAAAGTTAATTTCACTGTTTTAGGTGATTCCCCCTTTAAAACCACATATAGCAGTTACAGCAACCAAGCCTTTGGCTTAGTGTCAAAAACAAACTCCCATCCCTTTCTCCATAGATTGCTCTTTCAGGTCCTTTTTCAAACCTGGAGGAGATGTTTTCGCTCCATCACTTGAACCACCTGCGGACCGTGGTGAATCAGCAGGAGTTGTACGGGGTGCTGGTTCATCATTGCTCTCGTGGCTTTGGTCCTAATGGTTTTAACAGGTCAATTAGAAAAAAAAAAAAAACACAAAAAAAACAAACCACAAACCCCAACATGAAAATAACTCTACATCCTGTCATTGGTGTGAAACCAGAATTTAGTGAATGAGTCGTTAGCGTATCGCTGACTGCTGCTGCCCGTCACAGTGCCTGAGGTAAAAAATTCCCTTCTAGTCCAACAAGCCGGAGCTATGAATGTACAAACTTTTTACGCTCTCCTTCCATTTCTGTGTGGCTCGACATCTCCCCATCCCTGCCTACCTTTGCCTCAAGGGATCGTGAAAGCTCCTGCGTTGGAATTAGCCCGAGTGACCACGTGTGTTGTAAATGATCATGCCTTCCCCTGTGTTCCTGTAGTGTTGGTGAGGAAATTACTCGTCATTGGAAAGGGATGTTTTCTTCACCGTTTTAAAAGGAAAAAAGGATGCAAAATGGCTTTCCTTATAGCTGCCCATTTTTTAAAAAAACCCTTTATCTTTTGTTGGTTAATTGGCCTTCCGATGCCATTAGTTTGTTGTAAATATCACCCAGGAATCCAGCATCTGCTGGCAACCAGGCAGGGCTCGGTTCTGGCAGGCAGGTACCCTGTAGGATCCATTAATGCATTTACTCCCCTGGCACGGGGTGCACCTTAGTATCCAAACCTGGATCGGGATCGTCACGTTTGCTGCCAGTCACCCGTGGGCAGGCCAGTAGCTGCGGGTTTCCACCACCATGGAAAGCGCTGGTGTTTTTGCAGATGTTGGGTTGCAGGGTAATGGATTTCCACGTGATGGGAAGCACCGGTGTTTGCAGATGATGGGTTGGAGGGTAATGTGGATGCACTCCAGGTGCAGCAACGCAAGTCCTGAAGGGTGAGATTCAGAAACGGGTTCCTTTGTGTTTTTGGCAGCGCGTCTCCAGCTCCTGAGCGCTGTGACAGCGTGGGCTGCTGGTGTGCAGGAGGGCCCAGCGAGGTGCTCGGGAGCACCGGATCCCTGATGCGTTTTAAATGTTCGTTCCCAATGCCCTGAAACTGCCATGTCCCTTAAACTTGAGAAAACACAAGCTTATTTGCACTAGAAAGAACGGCCAAAAACAATCCTTAGGAGGACAGGGTGAAGAGCACCGATCTGAACCTCTTTTTCTCATGAGAGAATTTCCTATTCAAGCCCTCACCTCTGTTTCAAAATTGTATGGTCCCGGCAGAAAGTCTGTCAGTTGAATGATTAAATCCTGATGCACTTTATATTGTGTAAATAATATTAGGAGCACATTTCTGCTCCCGCTCTGGTAAGGGGATGCTTTGGTAACGTAGTGTAATGCTGAGAGAAGCCGTCTCCTGCATGCATGTGTCTGTTAGAGACCTGTTGCACCTGCTTGGTCCAGCTCCGCTCGTATGTTAGGGGAGTACAGGCGCAGTATTGAGGATCCTCTCAAGCCACCCCGGGTGGGATGATTTGGTTTTCTAAGTTGCAATGTGCAGAGCTGCCGAGCATCCTCAGCTCTGCCGTCCCGGCAGCTCCTCGCCCCTTCTGCAGATCGGGCCCCCCCCGTGTTGCTGTCGAGGCTTAAAACCGGGCTTTTCACGTGTAGTCTTGACAAAGCCAAGTCCAGCAGCTCCCTCAGTCTTGGCTTTCCCCGCTGCTGGTGCAGAAGGTGGGGTGGTCCCCAAAAAGCTGATCCTGGGTGGAAGGGGCCATGGGGACTTCCCTTGCCTTGCAGCTGGGGGACTGTTGTGCTGAGTCTGGCCTATCGAACCAGGTTCCTTGGGAAAGTACAGAGCTATGGAAGGGTTGGGAAGTGTTTTGCACTGGTGTGGTGAGGGGGGCCCGCCTGGCACTCCGAGGGGATGGCAGACCCCACCCTCGGGGGCTCCTGGCCTGGAGCCTGGACGATGGACTTTACCCAGCGAGAAGCTGCAGTGGTTATTGGTATCTACTCGTCGTCGTAAGTGTTTCTTATCTGTATCCAATATATACCAATCCATATTCACATATAGGCATTACTATATTTATGTGACTATATTGTAGCCTGTAGTAGCTCATAGCGAAATAATCTTATTTATCTGAAGTGTGCAGTCTGAGGAGGGGATGTCTGGCTCCTGCCACCGGTCTGGATAAACATGTTAGTTCACCCAGAGCTGGTTGGGAGCTCTTGGTCATGGCCCTCATGAGCATCCCTTAGGTTTTCAGCAAGGCTGAAAGGGAAAACATAGTTAAAAGGAGGCAGACTCTTCCTTGGAGGTATCACTGAGGCGAGGTGAGAGCTGTAAGGAAGAGGCAGCTGCAGGTACTCCCGGCCACATCATGTTTCCATGCCATTTTACAAGCCCTGGCTCTGCAAATCTGTACTACCATGTTCATAAAATCCCAAGCAGAAGTATTAAAATCCTGTCCTTTGTACGAAAAAAACCCAAGCAATTACCAAAATCAATGTCAGCACATTTGTTTTTTCAGCTACAGATGTCATAGTCTGGTAATTGCATCATTTTTTTTTTTCCTCTATGGCCTATTGCAGTGACCTAAACTCCCAGGGAAGGGAGTTGGTGGTTGTTAGGAAACCTAGTGCTTGTGTGACTTGCAGTCCTGTTATCCAATCCTAGTAATTTTTATAGCAGAAAAAGGTTTATTATTGTCTATTTTTATTGGGCAGATTTTGCACCAGGTCAAAAATTGCTTAATAAGTGATTTCATTTCCATGGCATTCCCACTTTTGCTGTACATACAGTA